TGGGAAGTTGTACGACCCGGGGGCTCCTTCATATCCGTCCGGCTGGTAATACCAGCTGCTTGATTTCGTCTCCTCTACACTCTTCTCTAATACTTACCGGTCAATTATTCTTCTCCAGATATTTCCATTTAGACTTGCAAAAAGCAGAGACTGTAGCGTTCTTAATATTTCAAAATAACAATCATAGGGTAAAGGATATTCAACTATGTGACATCTCCAGAATCTCCACCCTTGGTAAACTAGACAACCATCACACTGTGGCCCGGCCCACATTTACACGATATTAGGTACCAAGGATCAACTGAGACATTGACCATCTGCAAGCTTTGTCTATCTCCTGAGCCCTTATGGGATCGCTGGCCGATTGTTTTATAACTTTTTACTTGCTACAAGAATTAACTTTGAAAGACTTTCCGTAACTGATTGATATTGAGATTTTCTCAGCCATTAATTCCTTTTCAATCAGGGGAGACAGACAGCCGTCCATTAAACTTTGGTACACTGATTGAGTCTATACTGAGCTTAAATCTGCCAAGTAGCATAAACATCGCCACTTAACCGTACTTAAGCCCTAGTCAAAAAGTCCTTGATTCCTAATTGAATACCACGCTAAGCATTCCCTCTCGACCAATCCGGAAGGTTACTGTCAAGCAGTGTCCAATAAGAAGGGAGATATCGCCCAGCCTGCTCATGCAGCACATAATTAAATACGAGCTGAAGTTCGGAGCTTCCCTCGCTGCTTGTCGGCCCTTTATCTCCCCCGAACAGTGTTTAGCTGTGGAACCTGGTCACGTGATCCAAGCGCGTCATCTGATTGGTCGGCGACTGTCAGAGCGTGCTCTGATTGGTCCATGCCGGGAGGAAGTTTTCAGTATCTAGATCAGCGACCCGGGAGGACGCCAAACCGGTGCCGTTCTACCTCGCATCAGGTTAACTGAATGCCAAATTTTCAGGTGGCACGCAAACCTTATTCTCAGTACGATCTTGTGTCAGTCTTTTAATTTCAGAGTTTCGCACTCAGACTCGACCCCTTATGTGAGTGTGATGCAGACTGGGTAATCACGTGGGCTGTTTTGTCGGACATGGTTCATATTTCCCATCGTCTTTCAACTTTTAGTTTTAGGGAGAGAGATTTAATAATGCTTTAGGAGGCAGACAAGGATTAACAGTTCGATTGTCTCAGATCATTCTGCTAAATTTAGGATTAGATATTTTCAGGGAAAGGTTGGAAATTTCCTAAAAAGTAGAACAAATTCAAAGGTTAATTGTGGCTTGAATCCTAGAACCGACCAATCAATTGGATCACAAATCGACCGTATAAGACGATCGATTAAAGCCGTAATTCAAATTAACCCTGCTTTAACTTGTCGGAGGGAGCTAAGCTTAACTGTTTGTACTGTTAACCCCTACCGATTAAGTATTTTAAAGTCAGCACCATATAACTATTATACTGTACCGTATGAGCATATATATATACTAGCTCACTCCCTCCGCCCGCTCCTTGTAATAGGACAAATCATGATCAACTATTCCAAAAAGTTGTTAAAACGTTTTCTCTAGTAGCTGAGACGTGCGATGAGCTATGTGAATTGTGAACGGTATAGCTCCACCTTATAGTTACAATTTCTCCCTTTCGATCAGAATTCGTTTAACTGGTCACTGGGTTAACCCCGCAATATGAATAACGTCCCCCACGTGACCTTGGTGCTAGCATCTGATTGGAGGGCGGTGGCATCCCCTTTATGTTTGGAGATTGTGGTTGTTACATAAAGTTTGTTTAAAATGTATGCTTTCTAGCTGGTAAGGCGACGATGTGTTACTGGTGTTGTGGGAAGCGAACAGTTGGCAACCATCCCTAAACTAGCTCCAGCTAAGGGTGTACTCAGTACTTAAGTAGGCGAACTTTATTGTATTTCCTGGCAGATTTGATCAGCTTTTCAGTTGAATCGTCAGTTGAGTGAGTATTTGGTCAGTCATTTTAGTTTCATGGATCACATAATACTTACGCCGGAAGTCGTTGAGCTGGTCTGAATTCTGCAGACCTCTGCTTTACCATTTTGCTGTTTAGACACTAGTTTAGCTTGCAGATCAAGCTAACTGAACCGAGAACGTTCTTTATTGAGTAAATCAAGAATTCGTTCTTTATTGGTCTACGCGTTTATTATGTAACCCTATTAATATTAAGAATTATATTTTCTAGAAGAATTTGATTCGAAGAATCATATAAGGTCAACTGTAGCGCTTTACGGGTTAATTATGCCGAGAGACGTTGATCATGACCTTGTTAGTAGATTCAGCTCAGTAGAGCAGTTGTACAGAGAGTCACCACCATTCCACCAGTCAACCCTCCTCACTCGTCAGTCTATATTGTTTTCAGTGAAATGTTTATCCAATACCTCCTCCTACAGTCTTTGTAGCCGTACACTTTTCGGCGTGTCCTTCCAGAGGCTTCTACAAATTAAGTTTTAGACGCCTGGAATCAGCTTTTTGTCACGTCACACGTATCTCAGAGATCTAGTCACTGTAATGCCTGTATTTACTGCAATCCCGGAATATGCCCGGCAGAAACCAGGACAGTAATCGGAGTCCATCGGACCTAAAAGTGAGATTGTGTCACGCTTGTAAAGTCTGGTGAACAAAGCAGGACTTAAAGCACTGGCACCAGGGTTTTCGGGCTGACACTAATAAGGCACCTACCTCTTCTACCAACTGAATTTTTGACAGGTCATTAGGTGTCACGTGGTGGAGTTGGCGGCCTCTGATTGGTTAGTGTCGTGCAAACTGACCCCCTACTGGTGGTTGGGTGCTCAATTTTTTAAGAGGCCCATTACAGAGAACACATATTATATCCTGCTAAACATTACCCCTACCCGGACCCTTTCAGACTTACTGTCTTTGGTACTTTTTACACGTTCCTACCATTGGTTCGCGCACTACATCACGTGACCCTCCCGGTTACCATCGCAACACACGTGCACAAATCACGTGGTCCGCGAGCTCTTGCTCGGTACGCGAGGTAGGAGCGGTATTTATAATGCTACTTCGCGACTTGGATAGTGTGTTTGAAATCTAGTTCATTTTGACAACTTGCTGACAAATGCTGAGATAGTGTTCGGAGTGTGGGTGTGAGTGTGCGATGTGTTCGACTTCGTCTCGGGACGCCCCGTTAAGTGTTGAAAATCTTGTGTCATAACAAAACTCTAGCTGCTTCACCCCCGCTTATCTTGTATTTTTTTCTATGGGTACCTCGGTTTTCTCTTTGTATTCTGAGGGGGGTTTCTCAGGCTTTATATTTTGTTTTGGGGCAACCTTTTGAGGCTTAATCCGTGTCCTTGGATACCGGTAACCATTAGCTATTTCCACGGAGCCAATAAACATCAAAGGCATTAAAATACTAGTTGGAAGCGTTTCCCGTGTGTCACTAGAAGAAAAACCTTAAGTGAGGACTATTTTATTTCAATTTATATCGTTGCAAGTTTAACCTTAGGTCGTTGAAGTATCTCAAAATTTCATGTTCCAAATCTCATGTCGCACGTGCGATTTTACATGCACAAAGAATTCATAAAGAAACCAATCTATATCCAATTTTAAAGTGGTTTTTCATTGGCCAGTGGAATGGGGACACAACCATGCGCAAGATTAGCGTTAACCGGTTTTTCAAAGTTCCAAAGTGGAGCTATCTCTTTACCTGCTGTATTTAACCGTTAATATAATGCGGCGAAAATAATAAAATACCCTTATACCTTTATTTAATTAAATTTTATCAGTACCACTAAATCCACCCGATCTATTCTCACAACACTACATATTCTCATAATTAACTAATCCACCTCAGCGCTAATTAATCGTTTTCACCCTTTTAACATTTCCCAAACAAGTACTTTGTTTCACCTGCAAAGTTGGCCCCCTACCCAGCATTGTATCTGATCACTTGATAAAGTGTGAAAATACGTCCCCTTTCACACCGTTATTAGGGGTCCTTTTATCTATACCTCCCTATACCTGGTTCTCTAATTGAATCCTTGTAATCATTTAATTTTTGTCTTTTAATCCTTGGGAAATGGCAAGATCTCCCTTTTTGAGCGCCTGAGGTGTGATTATAATCTTGGGAAAGAGTCAAGAAAGAGTTGCAAAATTTTCACAGTTCTCGACTTGATAAGATCTGCCAATGCGGAAGTTTAAATTGGAAGTTATGACTTCGAATCAGAGATAATCTCACCGGGTGTCAGATATTTTGAAGTTAACCAAAATTAGATCAGACAATTTAAGAAATCAGATTCGTTACATTATCTATCTCGTGAGTAGGCGATTCTTTCATCTTTTAAATCCCCTATCTGATTCCACCTTGTCAATTATTGGCATCAATTAAATGTATCAGAGTGCCAACAGCTAAAGTCCCAATCAATATGATTTCTGTTAACAAATCAGCCTGATTTTCGGTAATTGAAATCCGATTCTCATCAGATTTGTGGCAAATGATGTGTCGTTTTGAATATCCAGGGTAACGGGTCACGTGACACGTGTAGACTGTTCATGTTTCAATTTGTCTGAGAACTTGGAGCTATAATATTATTTTATCTGTCTAATAACATAGTAGTGTTATTAGATAATCAATAAAGCAGAATGACACTTTTAATTATGTAATTGCTGTAGTGTGAGTCAGAAATAGTTGAAAGGCACCTCAAATTAAAAACTCTTTGTGATTGGGTAAAAATACGTGATATAATAACATCCATAAAATATCATCCCCTCTCCTGCTTATATTAGGACACATTCTAATGTAATAAAATTGATGATTCAAATGTTACAAAGATATATCTAAATTTATAATAATCTTATTTTATGATATCTAAAGAATATACCTCTAAATTAATAATATTTGTTTTTAAAGAATATGCATCTAATGTTATATTTAGTGTTATATTTATGTATTAATGTTATATTATGTTATAATAATGTTATATTATGTTATATTAATGTTATATAATTGTAATAGGAAGACCAGCGCGGCAGTTTGATGCCAGTAGACATATCTGTGCAGCAGAGTAAACTAGATTTGTTGAGGATGCCTAAACTCGAAGCTATGGATATGGTGAGTACAATTGTGGTGTTTATTCTTTAAAAACTTTCCGCTCCGGACCAGCCTTTGGTTAACTTGGTCCCGGAGCTAGATTCCCTTGGCCTTGAAATGCTCGAATAACCACTGACTTGACTACAGTGACGCTAACCGTTAAACTGACAGACAACCTTTAGCTAAAGACGACATACATCTGACATTATTACCTCATTCTTTCTCAATTCTCAGTTCTCAGAATTAGGTACTGTTAAATCGTTGGAGTATAAGTTGTAACTAAAATTCGTGTTTTTATACATAACTACTTTGGTGTTATATAACAACTACTTTAGTATTGTTTAACCTGTTTACCATACCTAATTAGTCATAATTAAACTTTATCGTGGTAACAATAATGTAGATAGTTGATTGGATAAATCTTGTTGGTGGTATGGTTTCCACCCACCTTGGCCATGTCAGTTCACTGAATCCCGGTATACCGTGGGACACTTTTAATGTTTTGTGTATAACTTCTCAACAATTCACGGTAAATCGGAGTACGTGGTAAACGGATAAGTGTACTTTTCACCAATTTAGCGAGCTACCATACGAGATGAGTCCCTGTCATCGTGAATCGCATTTTTAGTACCAACATTTTCACATCACTCCCATTTCATTTGATGACAACCATCATGAAAACTGTTAAAACACACCATGTCAACAGTTATTGAAGTTGAAGTAACTTATTATACTTTCCCACGAATGGTTAGCAGCTGTAATCGATAATCTGACGCTTTCTTTCAACGTTGAATAACCCGATGACCGAGCGTGTCCAACAATTTATTGTCGTTTAAATAAATGCGGGCCGTTTCTGTCTGATGAAGGTGAAGATAGCTCAACTTAAAATTAGAACAAGTCGTCAAGATGACGTGAGAGGAAGCAGTTGTATAACTATAAGTTATCAGGGTATTGTCAAACTGTTAGATCTTACATCTAGACATCGGCAGCCTGATATATATCCAGCTAGATCCGTATCTGACATTAAACGGGTTAAATGGTAGGTAGATGACGGCCGATCTGCCATTTAGTGGCTTACCCCGCTAAACTGGAGTTCGGAGGTGCGAGGAAGTGATCGACCAGACTATCCCTCAATATCTAACAAAGATTTCATCTGGAATATTATGTTACGGACCATTAATATTTCGGGTTCCATCTAGTTATCCTAGTGGTCGCGGAGCCCAACAATGCTTCCTTGATTGGGTCTGATTAGTCGGATTTTGTAGTAGAGATTTTTGAAATTTCTGATTGGATTCTCGTTAGACTTGGTTTTTGAGTTGAGCAAATCTTTAAAGCTAATCAGACAGTAATATCTGTATACTTAAAAGCCCTGTCACAACCGTCTTGATTTTTAGGTAGATATGTCTTCGAGTTCTTGGTAACCTTTTCCGTAGAAATAAACACAAAGTTGCATGACGTCTCTTAGTACAAGACTTTGGACATATAGAAAGAGCAAACATGCAGATCGTATTTAATTGTTTGCCTTAATTGACCTTTTCATGTAAATCGTACCAATTCCCCTGGCATCTAATGAATGATACTGCCTCGCCTACCTCTATTGCGGTCTATTGGTCTTGTGATAACTATCACTTATTTGATTGGTAAACCCAGAACTGAAGCTCGATCGTGATTGGCTATAAGGTTGGATAGTAAGGCGGATCCTAGGGCAAATTTACCTTGAAACTGTGATTAATGTGACCTGCATGCTCATTCAGTTTTCAAGTTGTCCGAAACTTGCGTTCGACACTTTTATTTATCATCCTTATTTATTCTCCCTATTCCGATAAGTTGACTTATCTTAAAGGTGTTAAAGATCTCCGGAAAACTCTCCCACAGGAAAACGGCAAAGTTGGTTAAGCTCTCCCTCTATCTTGCCGTGTAAAAATCCCGCGGTTCTGCTAAAATCATATCATGGTTTACCGCCTTTTAAATTGATCGAATTTCTACCTTAAATACTCATGGGAATAAAGAATTACGATTAAACAGAGTCCCTCGCCATGATCCCTTAAAATCGTATTTAGTCTGGTTTTTGCCGCTAGTCGATGTGATGATTGTTGACGCCATTATAGAGTTGGTAAGCGTTTAGCAAGGTGGCGAATTGGTCACATGACAGGCCAGTATGTATGCTGATTGGTCGCCGGTCTCGTCTCCGGTCCTGATCAGATCCTCGTTAAGGACCTGATCAAGTAATCAGGCATTGAGAGAAGCCCCCACACTGCGTGTGATACCTGTGAGAAACGCACCCCCTCACGTGATTCGAGTACACGGATTCAGCGGTCACGTGACATGAGGTTTGATTACGTCACCACGCTACGCGCGGTCACGTGGGAATTATTTCACCTCAATGGACCGTGGCGGGTATATAGTCTGTCTGGAGTCATTACCCTACACTTTATCGGGCCAGCAGCTTACCACCACCAGACTGGGGCTTTGTTTACTTCCGTAGTATTTCCACTACACCTTTAGCTGCTGAGATCCTGATATGAGCAGTGTACCTTACTGCCATCCTATCACTGCCGTTTTGTTCAACTTGTTGCTTTGCTTCGTTTGATTTTTAAGGGTTTCTGTCGACTGTAAATACGTTAAACGGGATTTGTTTAGTTTAATCCACCTTTACCAACCGCTGGTCTTCTTTTTTACTTTCATTGTTATGAAAATCATCGAACTTCTAACCATCTCCAAAAATAGTTGTCAAAATGATCAAGTGTGAATCGCAATCCAGTTTTATCGAGCTGAGCGGGTGCAGTATTCCGTCCTTTTGTTCTGATGTCTACAACCTGTCCTCCACTTTCCACGATCAGACCCAACCACTCTCTGGTGACCTCCCGCCCTCCTTCCCCATGAAGAGAGAACGACACCTCACACCGCCACTACTCGTGTCTCCGACTGTAAGTTCAACTTGATCTTTGATAAACTGATGAGAATATCGCCAACTTAATAACTCTCGGTTTGATACTACTTTAATGAGACCTTCGTTTTAATCGTTGTAGCTGTACTTAATTTTACAATCTCCAATAAATACTTTAAGTTTATATCGCTAAAAGAGCTCGAGGTTATTATTGCTTTTACTACTATTAGCCAGCTACCGAAGTAAGCTTATTTTGTTAAAACACACATCTCATGCGTTTACACTGACATACTAATTATTAATGCGTCTGTCGGATTGGCCGAATTCACGGCCAAATGTGGGCGGTTGCAATACCGTCCGGGGATTATTGGGATAGGCCTGTGTGACATCTGTCCGTAGAATTGATATTTTTAACACCAGCAAAATATCACGATTCCCTGCCGTAATTTTGCTAAACTAAGTAGCTATGTGGCTTCCCATATGAGTTCGGCGATTCATGGTATTATTTGATGCTATATCCATGTACGATAGAAATCTTGCCTTATATGGGAGGAATAGTGACCGGATTGAATTTGTAGAGGTCGAGCAAGTATTCTATTAATTTCGGATCCGATCATGAGTCGAATAGGTATTTTGCAGAATGACGTATGTTGAATAGCAGCTATTTTGGCACCTAATTCGACCAAATTATGACCGCGGCCATCCACAAAGTCCGAGAAATAATTCTCAGATTTTCCCTACAACCCCATTTTATTGTCAGCAAGTTTTGTCAGTAATTTACATTCTTTGTCAATTCTGACAGATAGTTCTGTCCAACCTTTTGCCCCACTCCCATTTTCCTCCCCATACTGACCACTGTTTCGACTTAGTTTTGGGCACGAAACGTAACACCATTTGTCTTCACCCAACATAGGTTGTCCACAACCAAATCGTGTAGCGCTGATTGATTGGCCGTAATTGGGTATTATCCAGTGCTAGACATGGTAAGTGTGACTTATAAACAACTTGACCAAGTGTCAAGTTTTCACCCTTGTTGGATCCCAGTTTACAAGTGTCAAAACAGTGTTGAAATACCATCTACCCATTGGGCCACCTCCTTGACCCCCGCCCTTTTGATTGGGTGCCAGCTTAACACTGACTCGGACTGCGTGAAGTGCTCCTAAATGCCTATTGAAATTAAAATTGACCGAGCCCTAGTTTTAGGTCAATTACTGGAATTGAGGTTGAAATAATCTAGACGATTTAAAACCAGGACCCTGGGTATCCTCTAATAGTTTATAAACAGACAAATCTCTCGGTCAGTATCGTTACTTCTGTTTAATTCTTCCGCGGATTTTTGTTGATGGGACTCGACTATATGTCAAGCAATCCTTGATTTCTCCTTGAGGAATCATAATCATAGTTCCCAATGTCTCAATATTGAAGCTCAGCTAGGCCGATAACTCATTATGTTTCTTAAATTAGCAAGTTATTATTAGTGTACCTTTCTTGACACCATCCCTTCGCTCCAATCAGCTCCACTGTGATATTGCGACTGATTGGTTACTTTGTCGTGATTGTTTCCATTTTTGACGTCAATACCGCGTCGAAGAGCTTTTATTTTGAGAAATTAATTTTTGCTATCTTTCATATTCGAGAGAAACGAAGTTATGCTTCCTTTTATGCGCTTACTTGAATTAGTCTTCACTAGCCCGACATAATTAATAGAATATCGCTAAGTATATCATAAGGCATCAGGTTTATCGGTCAACACAAAAATCATGTAAATAAATTCAAGAGTAACGTTGCGTAGTGTTATCTGGTTAAAACGTTGAATATTCGTAGACAGCTCCAATACAGCGATCTTTGATTTGATTGGATTAAGTCCGCGACGACTTGGTTAAACTTGAAGCTTTCCGGTTCTACCTTGAAAGGAATAAACCAGCGCTGCATATACGGGGCATTAGACCTGATTATATTTATATAGGTCTACCTAGTTTCAAGGTTAGCGTATATTACTGCTGAAGGTTAGCTGGGCTAGACTTGACAACCCTGTCCTTGCTGATGGTATAAAGTTACCAAATCATTAGAAGCATACTAAATTTAAACTTTCATGGGGCAACCATTTATCGGTTCTTGCTTGAACACACCGTAGGAAGCGCCCTGATTGGTTGGTTTGAAATCAATTTACAAGCCTGGACGCACGGGTCCTGTCAGCAGATAGAGAACCAGATAGACCAACTTGAACTATCCGATCTATCTGGACGTTCCTAATTTGATTTGGACAGCGGTTATGGCAGGTTTCTAATTGATGTGCTCCTATTTAGGTGACCCGAACTCTACTTTTTCTTCCATTGTTCTTGACAACGCACCATGGGTTCTTTCTCGGTGCTTGCTCGCTCAAGAGTTTGTTTGTCATGTGTCTGAGGGGTTGTAGGTTATGTGTCTCCGAGCAATATGTCTGACACATGCCATGCAGTATAATATCGTTGTAACTTCAATTGATCACACAATTCATACTTAATCTCGTATTAATCGCACATAATTTTAACCGTTACTTAGACAGACACTCCCGCGGTAATTCTTTATGGTTAAGGAATAAGGGAGGATGAAAAAATTGGTTTGAACTTTGACATGTTCACAGAATACACGACCATGTAACCAAATGAACCGACAAAAGACGAATGACATTCTCTAACTAAACTTAAAGCTAACAAAGAAGGATATGTAAATTGTAAAACTAACCCTGTATCTTCTCTCCAGTACTCGCAGAACATGTGGGCCCATGTAGAGGAGAACCCGAGCAAGAGGAGATGTATCGAGCAGGACACCAAGCTCCACCACATGATAGGTACGTTTATTTGTTTGTCTGTTTGTATGTTTGTCTGTTTTAATGTTTGTCTGTTTGTCTGTTTGGTTACTGTCTCAAATCTAGCTGCTGTCAGTAATTTCAACTCTGAGAAGGAAACGAGTTACGACTTCTCATATTTCGTAATCGCGTAGCACATTTACAACTTTCGGAAGCGGACTTTCCCGCGACAATTACCAAATGCGTTTGCCGGATATTGATTGATCAAATTAATCATCTGCAGGTAAAGTGTCACCCGGATCAGAGAATATTTCGCACTGCGACCAGGAAACAAAGGACACAAAAGTAACTCAGAAGAAGCGAGGAATATTCCCTAAGTCAGCAACCAACATAATGAAGGCATGGCTGTTCCAACATCTCACGGTTGGTGAAGTTTTTCTAATCACTTTCACATTAATTTACCTTTCGCCACTGGGCTACATGGCTTCTGTTGTGTTATATCACAGTATACTAGAGTTTCTGTAATTTATATCCAGCTTAACTTAACACAGGCTTGATTGATGAGTTGAGAAAAGCTATGTTGACAGATTTATACTTTTAAAACTTTAAGATGACTCCAGTTGTAGAACTAAAGGAAAATACAATTGTAGTTCGCTTTTAATGTTTTTCTACTGGACTGATTTTAGCGTGATAAAATAAATGGTCATTTGTCGTGTTAACACCCTAAAAATACATTCTTAACTCCCGTTCCTCCCCAGCACCCGTATCCGTCAGAAGACCAGAAAAGGGCCTTAGCACAGGACACCGGTCTCACTATTCTTCAAGTTAACAACTGGTACGTTGGGGTGACGATTACATCACTGGTGCAGTGTATTAAAACTCTCATACCTAGTTTTTAACTTTAAGTTAAGGCTCACATTATTCTAATTATACCATCGCTAACTGTGTGTTGCCTACCTAGCTCAAACATTCTAATCTCCCGTATCTTCCAGGTTCATCAATGCTCGAAGGAGAATAGTCCAGCCAATGATCGACGCTTCCAACCGAACAGGAAAAGCTCCTGTCGTCACAGTCTTCAAATCCCGTCGGAGGAAACCAAGTGGTGGAATGATCCATTCTCCAGTGGGCCCGGGCATCAGAGCTCCACCCCCACTCAACATGAGTCCTAACATGCCGCAGACTATTGCTATTAACCCAACCATCAACAACAACTACTACGGAGACTTCGCTCTAATCTCGGTACGTGTGTGATATTTAAATTTTAAATACATCTTTTAACTTTAAGTATTTTGATAGTTTTATATCAAGTAATATAGCTAAAACCTGCCATTTAAATTGTGTCACTCTTAAATGCTATGAACACTTTTGATGTCCTCTGATTATCTAATTGAAGGTCGGCCTTTCGATAAACTCTGAGAGTTCGTCAATCTACAGACTATTTAATATATTACACTACGCAGGCATTCATATCATGATTAATCCTTTAACTTCCATTGCCTGCTTCCTCCAATTTTAATACCTTATCGCTGCACCGTACTTATCATTGTTGCGCAATTCAAATTCTGCGTGATTTGATTGGTCTGATAACTGTGATAATATTATATATATATAATATAATATCATGATATAATATATGTATATCTAATAGTAATATATACTATATAGCATGGAATTGTCTGTCCCCAATCCTGACAATTTTTGTCCGTAATTCTGGGAATAAAGGGTTGAGCAATCGCCAATCGTTTAGCATAAATAACGTGGGCATATTTTTTAAACGACTGCGACAATGAAATCATATTTCCCATTTAACTAAGATTACCAAAAATCTATAAAATATTGATTACTACACTTACAGTCCTTATTATATTCTATAAACAAGCTTCTGCCAACTATGTTATCTAAAGATGTGATAGAAAATCAAAGTTTTTAAAATTAAAACACTGTGATCGTCTAAAAAGCTTCAAGAACATATATCTGCTAGCTTTTAAAGTGTGACGCAAATGCAATAGCACTCAATACCAGTCACTCGGCAGTATTAATAACAAGGTGACAATCAATACCAGTGAACCGCCCAAATTTTATATATATTTTACAGTGCAACCCATAAAATTAAACTTGCTTCTTTGCTTCGAATTTTAAATCGCACACCTCTCGATCATACACCTTTTTGTTTTCAACGATAATTGATTATTGCTCCCCCGAAATAAAGAACCAATAAAAACGCTCGAACGCAATTGCCTGCTTCAAGATTAACCAATAGAGAGCTTGGCGTGAAAAAGCGTTTAATACTTAAATAATAATGATGCTTTGAGGACACAGCCGTTAAATGGTAATATATAATGGTAATGGTTCCACCGAATTTATTAACATTAAGATATTGGCATCGCCAGTAATTCATCAACTTTGGTTAATGAACAAGTGATTGGGAGGTAATTTAAGGTAGAGTTATCCTAAACATTTGAAGCGATGAAAGCTTGGGTGCCCCTCTCACCCAAATTTTTCGCATTCAAATCAATGGCAAATAAATTAAATTAATAGCAAATTAAATAAATGGCAAGCAAATAAGTCTAATTCTGCCGCCCTACATTTGTGTTACCCAAATTTATTGAGCACAAAGTTTTGGCACACAAATGTTTGGGTACTAAGCTATAACGTCATGTCTTATGGTATATGACGTCACAACTTGAAGCACATAACGTCACGTCTAAAAAGAGATGACATCACGTGGCCAATAGGTACAATAATACCCGGAAATGTCTAGGTCAGCCGGCTCTGGCGGGGGCTCCAGCCGATCTGTAGGATGTGGAATAGTCTACTAGTCTAGGAGTCTGGGTGCCAAGTTGTTGAGCTCACTATAAGGTGTAGTGTACGTGTGTGTGTATCGTCTGGTGCAGGACCTGTTGGCGGAGCTTGAAGACACTAGGTCATTTGTTGGCTAGGAAGTCGTTAGAAAAAAAGGCTCTGATACCAGTATCACGCCCAATTTTTGTTGATCTATCTGATCAATCTCCTCTGTCGTTTTCCTGAAGTAAAGAATGATCATATTTCTCTCTATAAATCTCCCCGCGTTCTGTATGGGAATATATTCTCAACAAATAGTCGATGATCTTAGCCCAAAGCTGGGTGGGGCTTGCCAGTTGTAACTTTGCGAGAGCTATGCGACACAGACCGAGGGTCAATGGCTGAGGCAGATCACGTGATCCCTTCGAGCGGATCACGTGACACTACGTGTGACGTGTGTTTCTCTTAAAATTACTGTACCCTGATTTTTGTAACTCCACAAACAAGGTGCTGACAGGATTTGTACTGTGCCGGTCACTGTTGGCAGGCATGTATTCACTTATAGCGGCACTTTTTTGCCAAATAATAATGCAAGAAGCGGATGCCCTCGAGGCGCACTGCACCTTTTGTTATAGCCGAGTTTTAACTCACAGCTTTCCCCTGAATTCTCCTCACAGAGCTGGCTTTAATGTGAGGATTCTCTACCATATAAGAATTATTGTGGATGCACTTGTAGCGATACATCGAATGAGAGAGAAGTAAGAATATGTCTTTTAATAGGCCGGCCAGTTTGTTAAATCATCAATAAATGTATGTTAATAGTTAAATCGGCAAAACTGTATTGTCTTTACAGTTGAAATTCTCCTACTAAACTTAAATCATTGTATGTGCCCCAAAATATCTGTATGAATTATCAAAGGGATATTAATGACTTCATCTACGAATCAGGAGGGTTTTGAGCGGGGCAAAAGCTTTGAAATAAATCTCTAGATCACAGTTTTAAATTGAGCAAGCTTTATCTGGTGACAGACCCCACCGCTAAAGAAAAAAAATTCCTTCCCCACGAATCTTAGCAGACATCACAGTAACATAGAAACCATTTACAACCATAACTAGGACCCAAATTAGGGCCTCAAGTAAAGTTGAAAATTCAGAATTTAATTGTATAGATATTCTAACCAACCCTCTCTCCACAGGACCCACACTGTATGACGGGATCAGGACCGTACGTAGCTCCTCCCTGTACCACTACTGGTCCTCACTCCCCCTACTCCAACCAGTGCTACAATGGAACATGAGGACATCTCCCTACTTCGGACAGGTTAGCATCTATGTTGTTTTTTAACAGAAATCTTCAGTTAGCAGCTGGTATATTTTGAATTCGGCTGATATAATTTGAATTTTTCGCTGCTGTTTTCTTATGAGGGTAGTAAGTCTCTATAAAGCACCTAGAATTTTATAGAGTATAAACTGCTCCCACTGCGTTAGGATACCTTATATGGACATGTCATAGGGTAGTTGATACCGTACTTGTGTCTTGGGGCCCTCGTATCTTGCAAATGGTGCTGTTAGCTGTAGTGATGCTGTTTTGTAAGTCCAGACGCTGAGTCTACCCCAACTGATTAGAGATTGATCACAGTGATAACATTATAGCTGTCTATATTATCTGTCCGTCACCTAAAGTGTGAAGTGAGCGTGAAGTAGCAGTCACGTGAGCCTTATCTGTAAGGCGTGGGAGAGTTGGACAGATCGTCCTCTGTGCACGTGGATCATGGCTCCTTGAGCAGTCCGTCACCTCGGAGGGATGATAATAGCTGACACTCTAATTTGGGAAACCGAGCCCTGTTTTGCTGCTTTATCTAGGCCTGTTAATTGGGTCTGTCCAGACAGTAGTGATAACAAGGGCGGAAATAATGCATACGAATAAATATGGAGATGGGGAAGAGAACCATACTTGATTTGACACGTGACTATGCTTCTGGGATTTGATTGGTTAATAGTGGAAGCTGATTGGTTAAACCCTGTCACCTGACTGTTCAACTCTCTAACAGAGTTACTTACTATCTCTCTTATACAACGGATCACTAACGAACCCTTTTTTACCACAGAGTCCGATGATGTTCCCGACAAGTTCGAGCCCCTCCAACTTGACCCACCTCTCTCCGCCCCACCTACCCCCAAGTGCAGGACTCTCCCACCCCTCTTCCATGTACAACTCCACCAGTCCTGGATCCATGATGGCGACTAGTCAGAGCTACATTCCAGACTTTACTCCCGTTAGCCTCGGTCTCACTTCAGGTCCGTCAGGTAAATTTAGTTACAAATTAACAAATCTTTGACATGTTTAATTGTCTCGTTCCTACTGCTTTTAAGTCTTGTTTTTACTATCGACATTGATGGACTGTCCGAACTATTCAAATCAAAACAAGTTTCATTCACATCCTCAGATAATATGACCAGTTTAACGTCTCTCCAGGCCTCTCCATTGTACACAATACACACAATCCCAGACTCCTGAATCACAATTCTTACTGGATCCTGGCACAACCCTTAAAACATTGTGATGAATTGAGAATTGTTGTTGAAATGGCGCTGTATTTAAGGATACATTACACTGACTATTGTTGAAGTCTCTTCTACCTAGTCGGTAACAGATCCAATCTGTCACCTTTTGTCCGGATTAGTTGTTCTTTGCCCAGACACCGGCAGGACTGTGCTCTAGTTCCTCTACACTCCATAGTTCCTTGAAATTGTCCGTCTCCCTCTCTCTCTCAGTTGGGGGAGAGTTGGACACACTTCCTGGTAGACGCGGACACCCTGTTCATTTGTCATCAGCTCACTAACCACCACAATCGCGTCATATTCCAGCTACCAATCACACTGAGGTGTTTTGTTCACGTGACACCAAATAGCCAATCGTAACCCCGGGATCTCTTTCAGGCCTTCCAGCAGTGGATACAACCGTCAGATAGTTTCTCTACCACGTGACTTGAACCGTCACCATAACGACCTTATCTCGACATTATCTCTCGTGGTTACCATGACGATGTTATATATCACGTGATGATGCAGGAGAAGCTGATTTCTTTTGTGGGACTAGCACTAATTTATTTGATGAAAGTAACGAATGATTATATTATCATGATAGGTTTTAGATTTTTATTGCCTGAGATTTATTGAATGATAATTTTGAATATTTAACAACTAAGTAACGAGTAATATATTATGATTTTAGAATGATTGAGTTCGACATAATGAATATTATAAAGGAGCCCCCGTACATTAATGAATCTATGTGGAATCATTTTCAATTTTGTGGGCATAATATCGATGTTTCTTCGAAGGCTAAGGGTTTATTTGATTTTGGCGTCCACATTTGCCGTATGATTCATTAACAATGTGGACCCTATATTCTTAACTCAGTATTAAGCAATCATTTTATCATTGACAAACATCAACAGACTTTTTTAACTAATTTTAAAATATTCCAGACTAGTAGACGGTAGAAAGTACATTTTTAGCTGATGAAAATTTGGTGTTGACTTGCTGAATATTCTGTTTTATCATTTTATCCAAAGAATGGATGGCAAATTATTTTAGATTTACCGTACAAAATAGCCTTGGTGGTATATGGTACCTATAACAATAGTTTACATTATAACGCAGTGACTACTGCCTATAATAAGTATAGTCAGTGTTTCTTAAAAACACTGTCCTTCCCACGCTACTTGTCCGCCTGTGTGTGTGTGTAAATATGCTATTATAAGAACTCAATTGATCTATAACTGACTAAATGATTGTTTTATTTGTTTGAAACAGTGCAGATTAAGGAGACTAGTGACGAAGATGACTTCAATTCAGTAAAATTTCAAGCTTCAAGCTGACAAAGTGAAGCCACTGTCAGCAGTTGACTAATTAACGAATTCTACCCAGGAAAAGATAAACCGAAATCCTGGCACAGTCCCAGTGGCAGTGGTAAACTTGACCTTTTATAGTGCACCGATTTATAATTGTCGGTTGAGATCACTGATAGTTATAGTAGAGGGTATCACGTTACACAGTATGGGAATCAACTTGGGTTGTAAGTAGTAGGACAAAGTGAAGGGTTCACGTCGTTTTGCCCCAGAGCTTCATGCTCCAGGACCCTTGTCTCAACCCTAACCCTTGCCTCAGGCTCAACCGTAATGGAGTAAAAGCCTCTGGGACACATTGCTCTGGGATAGAGTGTTGTAGGAGTTGCCACGAGTTACGTGTCCCAGGTCCCTGTTTATCGAAGGCAAATTTAATACAACTTTAATGGATATGCCAAGAAGTTATATACCTATAACTTCTTGGCTGTATATATACACTTACAGTTGGGAAGTTATTCGATTGTTCAACGGGAATCGTTTCCCTAGTTTCCTTTAAAATATTGGGGATTTATATTTCTCATAGCTTCGTAATCACAAAAGTGCAATTATCCGACTGTGTCAAACCATGTATTTTAAAGTGGATCTTAATGCTTAAAAGTTAGGCGTACGCTATATCTGTACAGAAACCACATCCAATTTGATACGTATGAAATATGTAACAGACATGGTGTTCCCTGACGAGAAGAAAACAAGGGCTAATGGTATGGGGGATCGTGATAAGGGGATGACTTCGTTGACTAAGAGGGCTGAGTTAGATAAGTTTGGGGTGGGGGTTCAAAAAAGCCAAGATACTTAGTGCATAGTGGCTCTAGCGAACCTCACAATGTTTCTGTGTAAGGTGTGAGCTGGGCGTCTTGTTTGCTGTTGTCCTTTTTTTTGTTGGGTTCGTTACCAATCTTGATGGGTGACGAAGCGAGGGATGTTTTTTCCAGGATGATTGTGAGTTCGTTACCCTGGATATCGCTGTGTTGATAGTGGAACCCTATGGATGGTATAGTGGAGAGAGGGTAGTGGAGAGAGAGGGTAGTGGAGAGAGAGGGTAGTGGAGACAAAGGGTAGTGGAGAGAGAGAGGGTAGTGGAGAGAGGGTAGTGGAGAGAGGGTAGTGGAGAGAGGGTAGTGGAGAGAGAAAGGGTAGTAGAGAGAGAGAGAGAGAGAGAGAGAGAGAGAGAGAGAGAGAGAGAGGGTAGTGTGGAGAGAGGGTAGTGGAGAGAGAGGATAGTGGAGAGAGAGGGTAGAGGAGAGAGGGTAGTGGAGAGAGGGTAGTGGAGAGAGGGTAGTGGAGAGAGAAAGGGTAGTAGAGAGAGAGAGAGAGAGAGAGAGAGAGAGAGAGAGAGAGAGAGAGAGGGTAGTGGAGAGAGAGAGGGTAGTGGAGAGAGAGGGTAGTGGAGAGAGGGTAGTGGAGAGAGGGTAGTGGAGAGAGGGTAGTGGAGAGAGAAAGGGTAGTAGAGAGAGAGAGAGAGAGAGAGAGAGAGAGAGAGAGAGAGAGAGAGGGTAGTGTGGAGAGAGGGTAGTGGAGAGAGAGGATAGTGGAGAGAGAGGGTAGAGGAGAGTGAGGGGGTAGTGGAGAGAGAGGTAGTGGAGAGAGGGTAGTGGAGAGAGAGAGGGTAGTGGAGAGGGAGGGTAGTGGAGAGAGAGGGTAGTGGAGAGAGAGCTCCTGAGAATGTTGAGGGCGGCTAAATGGTCAAGGATGATATGATTATGAGAGCGTGTGATTGTTCCCGATAAGGCTAAAAGGGCAGCCTTGCTATCGATGCAAATCACAAATGCGGAGCTCTGTGCCCTGTGGCTGAGTACTCGTTGATCTTTGCAAATTCAAGGTGATTGAAAGGTAGAGAATAACCAATAGTTCTGCTCGGGAGATAGAGGTGGCATCTCCTGGCCTAGTTGTTGGAGGTAATTATGGATGGTTGTGGAGTTAAGGAAGAGGACGAACCCCGTTCCTGCAATATTGTTTTGACCGAGCCGTCTGTGTAACTGATGAGCGAGTTAGCTTTATGAAGAGGAGGGATCTGCTCGAGGGCTATAGAGCGTTTAAAAAATCTCCGTGGCCGTATCGAGCGATTCGTTGAGGTGGAGTGAAGCTGAGGCTATTATATCTAAAAGACAAAGCGGGATTTCAGTTTCCCGCGGAGGACGAGGTAATGTTAAGTTTGAGTGGAAAGGTTAGTGAGGACCTCTAATTTAGCAGGTCAGTAAGGAGGATACAGCTCCGGTTATCAGTATCACCATCACTATAATCAGTAGTAAAGCTTAATTTTGAACGTACCGACTAGGATGTTTTTTAACGTTAATTTAAGCCAGCACAGTATTCTTGCAGACTGGGTAACCTTCCATCAATCCGATTTTAACAAAAATTGGTTAGCTTACTGATAAACTTACAAGGGAACCTTCCGAAAAAGTTTGGGCATATATCCAATCATCAGATAAGACATTGCATTATGTTACAGCTAAAAGTAAAAGCAGCGTCTTTTGTCCCATTTTCATTGTAGGTTTTTAACCTACTGAGGGCAAATTAATTTGCCCTCAGTCTTCGACGATACAGGGGGAGCCGCGCACTTCGTGCGCGGCGGGTCATACAACGTATGACAATGTTTTCTAGAGACTGTGAGAATTTTCACAGTAACAAATTTGTCATACCTTTTTGGAATGATCAGTGAATTTCGCCTAGGTGCCATATTTGATGGTGCGCGGCTTTTGGAGCAAAATTGGGTGTAAAAGTCGCTGAAAATTTGTCAGAACCTTCCAATCATACTTAACTACCGAACCTAATTTAGTTGGGAGGGATTGGCCTAGATAAAGAGGTCTAAAAATGACAAATTAGGTATAAATCCGTTGATAACTCAAATTCTGACCATCGAAATTGCTCAAACTAATTTAGGTTCAGTAGAACATAAGTGGTTACGTACGCTGACCAAATTTCAACAAAATTATTATATGGGAAGTATTATAACTATTTGATTGTTTCCGAAATAATGTGCTGGCCGAAATAAGAGCTAAAAAACCATTCAATGGTCAGCGCACGCGTCTTACGGTCGATGGCGCACTGCCTAGTACTACGTTTGTAGCGCGATGCACTCCTGGGCCGCGCCGCGCATATTCTCGCAACCACTTCCGTAGATCGGCGAGATGCACCACTGGGCCTCTCCGAGCTAGCTAGGAAGGATTGACATCGTGAATCAAGTACTACGTTTGACGGCTGTTACTCTGTACTCGTCTAAATTTCTTCGAAGTAGCGCGCGCCGCTTTCTTTTCGAAATATTATTTCACTGGCTCGATGGCAAGTGCTACGAAATAACGCGCGCCGGGCCAGACCGTTAACAATGGTCAAGTACTACGTGTTTGGTGTTGACTGTTGCGCTTGTTTCACTCCTGCTGCAAAGCGCAAAGCCGCCAAAGCTGCAAGGGTTAATTAATGATTTCAATCCTTCTTACTGGGCCGCGCTCAGCCTTTCATTCCGCCTAATTTAACAACATTAAAGCCTGGGGTCCTCAGGTAAAATCAATCACACTTCACAGCTCGGCGTGGCCGGCCCAATGGTACATTGCTGCCGATCTAACGACCCACTACCCAGTAAAGCTTACAAATTTGTAACGATACTAACATGGTGGATAGGTTGCAAAGAAATTCGACTTGTTTTTAATATAATAGGAATTATAGATAAACAACCTAAACTTTTCAAATTTATAATCAAATGTGCTTTGTTTTTTTTCGTTATAATAAGCATATTTGATAATGTTTATTAAAGCAAGCTTCTAAATTCGGGATAGCTTGATTCACGATGTCAATCCTTCGCATCTCGCCGATCTGCATCTGTGGTTGCGAGAAGCATTATTGGATGCGCGCGCGCGACCCAGTAGTGCATCGTTGTATTACGTGGTGACCCCCACTGTCGCTTCACACTGTTGACTGTAGAGTTTCGACGATACAGGGGGAGCCGCGCACTCGTGCGCGGCGGGTCATACAACGTATGACAAGTGCATCGCGCTACAAGGGATAGCCTGTGGCAGGCAACGCCCGATTCTAATGCTTCTACAGACCTAAACAAAAGTGCAAGTAAGTAGGTAAATATTTCTTGCTAGGCATGTGGCACCCATTACGGTAACCAACCATCGAGTTTTCGCTTTTTCGCTGTACTATTGCACAGCTCCCCATTTA